ACGTACATTAAGTAGAGAATTTACACTTATTTGGACTTATAACTTAAGTATGTTTAACCAGCTGTGTTCTTTGCTGCACTGGCACAGTTGCTGTAGAAGAAAGGTAACAAAATGGAAATTTGAGTGCAGAGCCAGAACTGATTCAGAAATGGACCGCTTGTGACCGGTGTTATATACTTGCAGTAATAAATCTACATCCATCAGTTTTTCTAACATCATCATCCATCATCACATTATCGACCAATGATCTCTTGGTTCATGTAAAAACGTTTCATTTATGTTGTAAATGATCAATTGAACAGAGGTCTAAGTACACAAAAACCCTGATCAAGTCTATGGTTTAACATTTACATACAACTTACACTTGGGTTTGCTGCAGGTTTGGCCATGCTGTGTTTGGGCTTGTAGTTGAAGAGGTGGCCCAGTTTCTCAGTAGCCTTTCTGGCATTCAAAGTCTTGAGAGACTTTCCTGTATAGACATATAGAATTGGGCTGCTTTAACATCAGAACACGTACAAACACAAGTAGGGCTGTTGGCCTACATGTTAAGCAACTTCCTATTGAAAAGGACCTCCCACTTTATACAGTGAATGTAATGCACCTTAATAATGTAAATACAGGCTTACCTGTGGTACTGTCGAATGACCCTGAGGCTCCATAAAATCCAGCTCCTGGAACATATACATAAATAATGATATGTTTGCTTAATACATCATGTGAACCTTTTTGAGGAAAGACCAATATCGAGTAGTTTGGGTGTGTTTTGTAATGCAGCTGAGGCATGTTGTGTTAATGTGAATCATAAACGCTATAAAGTAAATATGCAGGATATGCTCTCCCCATACAAATTGTGCGTGACACACGAAAGAGTATGCTGTCATGCTACAGATTTATAAGAAAGGTAATGCGTTATTTCAGGCATATCACTATTGGTGGAGGGAGAGGTTATTCCTATTAATGAATGAAGACCTTTATTAATCTGAGCAGAGGTTGTTGGGGAAAATTGTTACCTTCTTATCATTTGCCCCGTTTTTGTCCCAACTTGTTGAGGTGGGCGGACAAAAATGGGGCAAATGATAAGGTCACAGTTTTCCCCAAAAACCTCTGCTTGGAGAGTTTTATTGCACATTAATTGCTAAATTTTATATACATGTACTGGCTTAATAGGAGGTCTCCCCCCTGTTTTTTTTTTGGGGGGGGGGCGTTTGTATTTCCCTGCACGGAGTAACCAGTAATAGTCTATGCAAGGAAACATGTACCACTGACTTCCTAAAAGTTAACTGAAAAATAGGACAAACAACATTTTAATCTATTTATAGCTGAAAAGGTAGCTTTAATCTATCTCACAGGAATTACTTCCTGGATTCCCTGCTGTATGCAAGTGAAATGTTGTTGCCTACCTGCTTCCCTGCCTGGTGACATTCCAAATCCTGTAGCTCCTAAAACAGATTGAATGTTTTCTTTTAATACCTTGTGAATTCCTACCCGATAAAACGTTATACATGTACATGTATATCTAGTTTCGTTTTGTGGGCTGCGACATGTTACATGTTACTGAAATTGCTGTTATGTGACTTGTTGTAACAGTCGTTGATAAATACATGTTTTTGTACGTGCCATCAATTTGTTGTCCAACATGTACTAGGACTGAGTGTTCTATGTGATTGTTATGTTCCTATTTAATACAAATTTACTGAAAATACAGTGATTAGGTTTGGTCCATGTAACCATAACTGTTACGTCTTATAACTGCACCTTTGTCTACTAATAGTGCTATTATTGTACATATTATATGCATGGTTTAAAATGAAGAATAAACGAGGTACATGTAAATCAGCAACAGTATAGCACTACATGTACATGTACATGTACATAAGGGATGCACTTTGAAATTCCTTACAAGCACTCCCCAGTTTCAAACTTATACTAAGTGATGAAAACAATATGTACATTTTATATCAAAAGTTTTCAACAGTGTCAAGAGCCAATCCCTCTCCCTCCACTGCCTTTACCTCCCCAACCAAAGTCAGGTACCCATTTTACACAGTCCCGTGAGTACAGAGCATCTCTTGCAATCAACTTAATCGGTTTTCGCAAAGCTTTACAATACAATTTTAGGTACCAATTTTACCTACATGTACAAAATGTATGCTTGTATGCTGGAAATGATGTTGCTCTTGGGGCACTAGTTCAATACCCAGACCTGGTACTGCAACCTAACTATTAGACATGGGTCATACAAGTCAAGTGTGACTAATATGGAGCTGATAATGTGTACAGACTGGAGAGTTAAACTGTTGAACTTAGTTTAAAATGTCTAGCTACAGTTTGTATAATATTTATAGAGAAATAACAAAGGCTCATTAGAAAAAAAGAAAATGCTGGCTGACAGTGCAGGGACAGAAAAATACCCAACATCTAAAAACAGCACCACACCTCTTCTATCACAGGTCACCATGAAACTAGCTATAGGCACAAAAGCTGTAACAGTTATGATTACATGGACCAAACCTAATCACTGTATTTTCAGTAAATTTGTACATGTATAACGTTTTATCGGGTAGGAATTCACAAGGTATTAAAAGAAAACAGTTGCCAGTGTATTTATTTAGTCCTTTTTCGCAAGAAAGAACAAACGGTGATCAGTATATTATATGTAATTTCTGGCATTGGCCTGAAATAAGTTGCACAACTAAAATTTCAAGGCATGACCACAGTACTAAATAATGTTAGGTGAGAGAGAAAGGAAAAAACATGTACAATTATGCCATAGAGTGAGGTATGTGGGTCAACTTGCTCTACTGAAAGTCAGATATCCACTCCCTTTTAGTTGGAAGGGAATCCTCATCAAACATTTTGACAATGTATATTTTACGGCATGAAAAATTTGATTTGTGATTATTTCTGGGAGAGGCTACACTTATTACCAAATAACTCATCACAGTGACAGCATAGAGTTAGTTACACCTAACCCCAGGCTTCTATTTCCATGTCACTTGGATATGTATCATCTGTAGAGTATCCCCCCTCATCTTCAATAAACTCTCCTTCCTCCTCATCAGTAGAGTCTCCCTCCTCCTCATCACTCACATTATCAAATGGCGAGGTGCTAGAATCAGACTCATGAGAATGAGATCTCTGCTCGATATGACTCGAAGGAGGCTCAGGAAGAGTTGGAATGTGTTGCTTGAAGTGGTGGAAAAACCTCTCCAACCTCTGCTCTATCCTGACAATGTGCTGAGTGAGTACTGCCTGCCCTGCTGTGTTGTAGTTTTCCATGCATCTGCGTATCTCATGGTCAGTAATGTGATGCTGATCAAGAAGATGCTGCATGACACGCTCCATTTCTGCCTTCACCATCTCTTGTTCTTCTGAGGCCCTTTCCCTCAAGCTGACAGCATCAATGGCCCTTCGTTTCACGCTATAGGGTAGACCCGGTTCACCCTGTTGAAGTGAAGGAATGCACACATTTAGATAACATTATCAGTAAATAGAATATCATACAGATCCAACAAATTGAGCTGGTATGACCAACCAATGGAACATGGTGAATTCAGTGTCTCAAACCCCAGTTCAGCTGCAATGTACAGCTGCAATGGGATGTTTGTGCTGAGTTTCCAAAACAAACATCAAATACCAATGTAAAATGTATTACCATGGCCATGTATCACCGGTATTTTCACAGGATATTGACTTCCACTTGCTTTTGCATAGTTAACTTTTCATTGGAGTTACATACTATTTTAGAATAAATATGAAAACTGCTAATCAGCATACAAAACATGCATTTTTTACCTTCCCCAAGAAGGCCATGTTTTCAGAAGTGTGTTTGTATGCGAGTTATTAGCACAAGAAGCCACAGTTGGATTGTCAAGATGGTGTCATAGCCACAAAAGCAGTCCTGTATGCTGTGGTACAAATTTGCATTTCACTAGCTCACTGCTGAAGCTCATTGGCATAAAGATTAGTTTCTATATTCAATGGCATGATTTTGAACTATTCTTAGGCATTCTGTTCTTTGACTGAGCTTTACACACTCAACACAGGTTATCTGTGTAGGTTAGATGATCTCTGAATGTCATAAACTGTGTTTTACTGGCATGTAGACAAGTACAGATACAGTGCAAGAACCAAAGCTTTACCATGGATGTATCCAGTGTCTGGTACATGTCCCATGCTGGATCGCTATCTTCAAAGGCCACCGTTGAGGGGAATTGAGCACTCTGTGGTTCCCACTGTATGCCATTGTATGCCTGGATGGCTTTGGCCAGCTTTTTACTAGATGCTGTGAGTTGCTTGGAGAGCTTCAAACCGATGGCTTGACCATCTAGAAGAAGGATTTAAGGTTCTTGTTAGAACATACTTGTAACTCACTCACACAGTACTGGTAAAATTTGATATTCAATGTTGACAGCAATGATTTTTTGCAACTTTTGTGCTTTTATAATTCAGACAGGCAATGTCCTTTGAAAAAAACTGATCATGATAAAAACTTTAAAACATACAAAAAAGACACACAGACACCAGGATAGCGCTGTTTCAACGAGATTAAGAAGGCCCTCTTGTATGATCTCATCTCTCCCAAATGACGTGATCGCTCTTCCTCATCCAGGTCTTTCAAGGCAGAAATGTACTGCTCATCAGTGCAGCACCATCGGTGGATCTTGTGTTTGTCTTTTAGGGAAGCCTCCAGCCTGTGGATATTCAATTCATGTTAGAAGGAAAAAAGGAAAATCGTAGATTTTGTACCTCCGGGTATTGTAATGTATGTTGCAGAATGTTGGGTGCATGTTGGGACTGTTCTTTAAATTAGTGAATTCGCGCGAATACCATTTTTTCGAAAAGTTTCGAAATGTTTGTAATTGGCTAAATGATCTGTGAAATCACTAATCCCCCCTAGCCGACTGGAGCCCAAAAATAGAAAGGACAGGGGGCATCCCGTGGCGAATCTGGCTGCCCGACCCTCAGCGACCAGCGATAATGTAAACAAACACCCACACAAACGGCCGCGTGAGAAATCAACTTGCTCTCGAAAATTTATCAAGCCGACCGCTTCCCCCCGCGGCTGCCATCCCTCCCCACTTATCCCACACTAGTTCAAATCACGCTCGGTCTTCAAGTATATCTTAGTGGATGATGAAAATCAGAAAACAACACGGAAATCCCCACCGAAGTTCGAAAACACAGGGACTCAGCGGTCAGAGATCCTGCCGCCCGGGCGCGTCGGTCGTGAGAGTGCGGGACCGTTCCCGACGGGGACGGCTCGGGCGTTGAAGGGAAGCAACGGTCACCCATGGCACCGAGACCCAGGAACAAGACGATCCCAACCACAAGGCATGGAACTTCACACAGGGTGTATATAAAGACAAATAGATTTTATATACACACCGGGTGTGTATATAGCCACGTTCATAATTAATAATAATATGCGCACCGTGCTAACATTGGCCGGTAAAACACAAAACAGCGCTAGAAATCAAGCCCGATAAATAAGCTGAAGCTTGATGAAACCGACGAAAATACGAATAACGCGCTGTAGGAAATGTGTCAAATCGATGGCGGGGCTGGCTCTGGGAAAAACTGCGATCCGCCCGTCCAGATGGCCGCCGACGTCCCGCCGCGCGAGGTCTAAACATAAACAGCCGCCTGTGAAGCGGCGATTAGCGCTTGATTGATAAGAGCCAATCTTCTTTTTGGAAAATTCCGAAACTTTCGAATTTCAATTTGTGTTTGTAAATATTTTGAAATTAAGATCCCATTTGATTGCCACTTTCAAAATTTTTGCAAATGATTCTAACATTTTCGAAAACATGCTACCATTCAGGTTCTACATTTTTATAATAATTTCAGAATATTTATAATATTTTCGAATTATTTGAAACTAATTAGAAAATATAAGAAATATGATTAAAAAAACCGCACGGTGACTTCGAATGGACTCTAACGCATCTAAATATATGTGGTAAAATAAACTTGCGACGCATAATTTCTAGCATGGAGGTAGAAGTTTCTAGTGTCTTCGCCGTTAATAATACGTAACACTGTACTAACAGCAACAGTAGTATATCGCCTGCACGCTCCAGCGAAAGCCTGTCTGTGTTGCTATGGTGATCTGCTAGAACATGATCTTTGACCCGACAGTACAGGCTCATGAATATTTCCACCCGCTCTGATTCGCTACCGCTCCGGGCGCCAGCCGCCAATCGTCCGGTGCGCGCGGTAAGTGACACGCCCCTAGCTCGAGAGGCTTTGTACAGACACCCGGCCAGATCCGGACGCGAGGAGAGCCAGGGCGCAAATCAGGGTCGGCGGGGCGTGTGGCTTTCCCTGGCCGAGAGATTATCGGTCACTCGCGGTAGGGGATGGCACCCAAGCAAGCTCCAGGATAACATCGGCGACCCCGAGCCGAGTGTGCTGATTGATTGGCGAAGATGTAACCGCAAATGGTCAACCCGCGCGACCATTTTCACACACTAACAACAGTAACGGGTGTCCGAGACACGAAATACAAATAATCTTACGCCCCAAAACACATATACAATAAAACAAAAAAAAAACCTGCACCATCTACAGCCCATTAACAGAAGATACACCGAGTCCCGTCTACCCCAACGCGAAATGCATGTCGAGAACGCCTGAGACAGTATACCACGGTATTTGTAAGTTAAGAAGTCGTAATATACGCCGAAAACATCCGAAATTGCGCCAGAGGGCGTTGACCCCTGACCCATTGGCCCACCCGGAAGTTGGCTGGCTGCGACCCGCGCGACCATTTTCACACTCGATACCTGAAACCCCCTCTCACCAGATGTGGACGCAACCTACGACACTTTATACACGCCGAAAACCAAAAGACAAAACCACTTTCACACACAAGGGGTGTCCATACGCTGTCAAAACGCATCATTTTCACGCACTAAAAACACAC